GACCCTCGTCTTCTCTCTTTCTCCGCCGCATCTTCGCGATAAATAGAAATGCATGACCTTATCGACCATAATTTCTTGCTTGACTTCTCTTCGACGCCCCCTTCCCCCCTCTACTTTGCATGAAGCTCACACCACTTGTTACCGCTGGTATCACCAGCGTCCGTACCATTTCCATCGTTGTGTATCGTCTAAAACTCGGCAAAGGGATCTTTGCCGTTGTAAACGGGGACAATCGCATCCTCCATGGAGTCCGGGTATGGGTCGAAATTGGACGTATCGTTGGCCGTGCCGACACGTGGGATAATCGGTGCGGCGCCCTTGCGCGCGAGCAGGTCCTCCCAATTGATACCGGTGAGAGAACTTGTGTTTCTTGATGTCCTCCACTCCGTTCTTGAGACAACCGTACCCGTTTCGTAAGGTCGGCTGTGAGCATGCGTTTGATAAGTCCCTTGGCGTTTCGGTCGAAGAAACGCGGGAAGTTGAGCTTTCCTGAAAGAATTTGCTGGTAAATGCCCATGGGGTCGTCGTCGCAGAAAGGTGGCTGTCCTGCCAGCATTTCGTACAGCAAAATGCCCAGTGTCCACCAGTCTACTCCCTTGCCGTGTCCCTTGTTAAGTAGCACCTCCGGCGCGATGTACTCGGGTGTGCCACAAAGCGTGTACGTCTTGAACGCCACTCGCTTGGCGAACCCGAAGTCAGTGATCTTGATGTAGCCCTCGTTGTCTAGTAGCAAGTTCTCGGGCTTCAAGTCGCGGTAGATGAAATCCTGACTATGCATGTACTCGAAGATGGATACCACCTGTGCTGCGTAAAACTTTGCCGTGTTGTTGTCGAACCGCCCAGCCTTTCGAAGGTGCGTGAAGAACTCGCCACCGATGACATACTCGAGCACCATGTACAGGTACTTGGTGTCCTGAAACGTGCCTGCCAAGTTGACAATGAATGGATGGTCCAAACATAGCAAGATGGACTTCTCCGAGAGCATGTGCTCGACCTGTTGCAGCCGAATGATCTCTGCCTTTTTCAAGATCTTGATAGCCCAGTACGTGTTGGTTGCCTACCAAAGAAGCCATGACACCGTCAGTCTATTCGAATGGACCCGCCTATTTACCTTTGTCGACATGACTTACTTTATGGGTAGCGAAGCGCACACGACCGAAGGAGCCGGTACCTAGCGTCACACCCATGTCGAATTGCGAGCCATCGAGCGGGGCGGCAAACTTGTTCGAGACCTTAACGCCGTCTGGGGTGGCCATTTGTGCTGAGTGTGTCCCTAGTGTGGTCTCAGTTGACGGCTGCCGTGTTCAGCGGTAGTCGAATGTGTCAATCGCGGAGGAGTCTGCGCGTGTGGCGAAACTCCAGCGACCTTGTCACTCGCGTCTTTTTTGGGCTATGGGCGCGTGCGCAGAGGTGTCGGCAGTGAGGGCGACGGTCAGAATCCGATGGCAACAAACACAATAGCCGGTGGTTATATACGCAACAGGTATTTTTGTCCTGCGCTTTGCAGCTCGCCCCTCCGTTTTCCACCTCCTCACTTCGCAGCCAGGGCGATAGGAATAGCAGTGCAATGTCTGGCCTGATGCCGGGCTGAATAGGATATAACCAACACGAATCTGAAAAGCCGCCGAACGTAATTATAGAAAAAAGCAAGAAAGGGCCGGCCGACGAGTGAGTGCAGTGAATGAAGCAAGGCTATCTACAGATACTTCTTCCATTAATTTTCGTCTGCGTCAAGTCGAGGCTCTAAAAGAGTAGTAAATGGGGAAGGAAGTGTCGGTGGATCGCCTTCTGACCTACTGACCTTGATGACGGCGCGGTAATCTACTGACGCTTGTTGGGACTTCAAATTCACTGAACATGCACGAGAAACAAGGAAGCGAATAAGATGGTAGCTCTGTAAGAGATACATCTTGGTCTGTTGAAGCCACCTAAACTTCCGTTGTAATAGTCGTAAGCATGGTTGCACACATGGCAAGTTGAAGTGGAAATGTTGCGTGAAGGTCGTCCTTTTAAATAGCGTGGTCCACTTGACTTATTCCGACAGAAACAGCTGCTCGCTGGGCATTCTTCACGATGGGGCTCACCCGGTCGGGCAGTGATGTCGGTGGCCGCCGGCGACAGCGGCAGCGGCAGCTGTGGACTCTTCTCGTTGTTCTGTTGATCCTTCCATGTTGCTCAGCTGAAACGACCAAGACAAAGTCTAGAGCCCCCCCGACAGTGGCGCCTGAGACCGTCGTGGAGTCCAATGAGGGCGCGTTTGCCACCATCATGTACGACTTTGGCGAGGACAGCGAGGCACTGCTGCTAGCTACGCGTGTGCTTATGCGTAGCATCAAAGAATCCAAAACCAAGTACCGTCGCATGGTGATTGTACCGCAGGACGGACTTTTTGAGAGCAGCGAGCAAGCACTCAAAGGAGACGACCCGGACCTGGAGATTGTGCACACCAACATCCCCAATGTATTCGGGCACATGCCACTGACCGACCACCGTACGCAACTGCTACATATGCGCAACAAGCTCGTGATATGGGACGACCCGCAGATCTCATCGCTCAAGCGCGTCGTGTACCTGGACCCGGAGAACCTGGTACTGCGCAATCTGGACGAGATCTTCGCGTGTCACCAGTTCTGCGCTGTAGACAACGGTCAGTCAGTCGTGTACTCCAATGGACTGCTAGTCATCTCCCCCGACAGTATCGCAGCGAGGAATTTGTACTCGGATGCCATCGATGGCTTCATGATCACTGGCCGTGAGTACAATTACATCGGTATCATTCAAGGTTTCATGCCTGGACTTTTCGAGGCATTCGAGGAGAGTCCGTTGTTTTTCCTAGGATGGGATGAAGATGACAATGGCGAAGACAGCGACGGAGCGGATGATGGTGATGATGCAGTGGAACCAGTAGACGCCTCTGTCGTCCACCGCTTGCCTTTCTACTACAGCATCAACCACATGGTCTTCTATGAACGCATGAACTGGGATCTATATAAATGCAAGGACAAGAACTTAGCAAAGGGAGAGATCCCTGGGCCTTTACTGAGCTACAAGTACAGTGGCGCTACAGTGAAGCCGTGGTTCTGGCTGCCGTACACGTACTTCCAGGTGTTCTGGTACTGGCAAGATGTACGTGCCCGACTGGGAGAAGACCACTTCGGTCACTTTGTAGGCAAAGTCGTGTCGTTTCTGGTGATTTTCGCCTTCATCTGGTTCGCCTACATCTCCCTCTGCTTGAAGCTGTTCACGGAGCCTAATGGACGACCACGTCGCTTGTCAAGCTGGGGACTACCCACTCCTGGCAACGCACAGCCACTATCTATCGACGTGTTTAACTCGCGTGTGGTGCGGCGAGCCTGTCAGTTTTCTTGCAGCGCGTTGTATGCTATTGCATCCATGCCATTGGTGTCAAGCGTCTCCATCGTCGTTCTCATTACTTATTGTAGTATCCAGGCCATCCCCATCACGATGCAGCCCTCGTACGCAGGGAAACTCTGGGTCATTGTACACGACCTGATGTTGACTACCGTATTGCTGATATTCGCGGTCGCACACACGTTACGCACTGCTCAATGGAAGAAGGACGAGGTGCCGGCGACGTCAGACATGCTGCTGGGTGGCATCTGGTGGTGTGTTAAGAAGCTGCCACTGCTCATGCTAGCGCAGCTTCAGTTCCTGTACATGATTGGCCGTACCGATTGGTTCCAGAACCCCGTGCTGCGTCCTATTATGACCTTCCTCTCCTTTGCGATCGCCGCCACTGTGGAAGGTCGAATTCTTGTTGTTGAGATGCACCGTATCACGAGGAACTGATCGTCGAGCGTTATGAGCACTTGCCCATTATACCTAGGACATTTAGCCACTCAGGACGAAAGACACACCTGCTAATTATCGCAGAGACACAGGGACGAACAGTTTGTATGGTACGACACAACAATGCCAATAGAAAAGGAACTAAACACGAATATTAGTCAGCTAGTAGTCCGAGCGGCGTTTCTTCTGAGAACGAGGTACACAATGTTGTCAGTCTAATAGAGAGTTTGAGAGACAAGATGGCGACCTGGAGTTCCTGCGTCGACAAGGGTTGCTTGCCGCCAGTGAATGTCCGTTCCCGAGGTGCTTCTGCTTGCTGTTGCTCTGCTGCGTCTTTGCGTAGATCTTTCACGACTGCAGCTAGTGCCTCCGGGTTGACGCCTTTCTGAATCAGTGCCATGAGGATCGCCAGAGTGTCGCGGTCGAGACCAGTGTTGAGCAGGCGGGATAGCTCATACACGGCTGAATTAAAGGTTATGACAGGAGATGGGCGGCTTAGGAAAGGATGTGAGGGCGGTAAGAGTTATCTGGGTGACGTACTCTCCATGACTTCAGCGCGAGACGCGGTGATACCATCGCTCATTTTGGTGATGATTATTGGGAAGTGTCGGATCCGGATAAATGGGAATCCGGATAAAAAAGCAACTTCCGAAATTGAAGTCTTCAATTATTAATACTTTTCTACAGTGCTGACAAGGATATTGAATTAAACTTATCGTAATGTGATTCAAGATCCAGGTGCACCTAGATAGCGACAGACGGACACGGCCTACATGCTTACAAGTGATTCTGTAGAAAAAAATACTACGTGTAGTACTAAGCCGCATCCATACCAAAAAGTTGATTCTATCAGCAATTCGCTAGCTTTGTGATATGAGGGAAACGCCCTCAGTTTATCTCGAAAAAGTAGCTATTTCTGCCTGGTAATTGGTGGGCGTACTCACTAGGAGTCTCGTACGTCTCCTCGCCACTACAGCTACCAGTTCAACCAACTTCAGTACATGCAACCCCGCGCACTTCATGTATAACTTGGAAATTCTACTTGTATCGGTGTCCTAGCGATGGTCTATATTGTACTTCGTCGTATTCCGATCTCGGACACGCTTTCAGAATAAGCGATTTTCTTCGACAAGCGTACAAATTGTTTCAATGAAAAACAGACTTTACTCGATGGCTATCTATTCGGTCTCGTGAGTGTAACCCCGCGCAATACCGGTGCTTCCCTCTACGGCGGCGTGTGCAGGAGTCTTGCCAATGCGTGGGTCTAAGCCTTGGTACTCTCTCGTAGCGAGGTAATCGGCGGCCTCACTGTGGTACGTGGTCAGCTCTGTTCGCTCATTTTTGACCTGCAACGCACCGGATGCGTCAGGCTCACCTGAAGCCGTGAGAGCATACGTAGTTGCTTCTCGATCGACGGGCGTCGAGTGGGAAGCTGTCTTGTACGTTCCTGACACCAGCGAGAAGAATGGCTTGTCCACGTCTTCACCCTCATCATCGGCAGCTTGCTCTACGCTTTGAGCAGTCTGATCTAGCGCCGGTATTACCTCACTGAAGTCGGTTTTGTACTGGCCATCCCACTCTTCGGAAGGCGAAAGAGCAAGTTGGAGTTCATACGGTGTCACGATGGGTTTGTAGTATTCCTTGCTGTCCATGAGAGTGTTCTGTTGACATGCCACGAGCACAAAGGCGTCGATTTCGGCGTAGTTCGCGAGTTTAGGCACGTTGACCTTGCCCACGACAAACAGATACGACTTGCGTCCACTCCTATGATAACCACAGCAAGCATTAGTATCTGAAAAGATCCATAATATCGTCGATGATCCACCTACTTTTTGATCAGCTTCTGGAGTCCATGCACCACGTCCAGATACTTGTTGACGCCAAGTGTGCCCATCAAAATACCGTAGATCTGTGCCTCCTTAGCTTGTTGGACGAGGAAAAAACTACAGCACACAAAACACTGTTAGTTATTTCAAGCCAAGTAGCAATCTGACTAGCTAGTCTTACCGTCTCATGAGTGCACGGTTGACCGTCGCACCCTCTTTGCGAGTAGACATTACGTTCGGATTGTACGAGAAGCAGTCCACAGTGCTGTAGCGCATTAAAATGCTAGTGAGATGTGCTGATTCCGCTCCTATATACAGCAGTGCAAACGTTTCCGGAGTGATCTCCACGTTATCCTCGCCGAACACGATCTCCTGCCCGCCAACTGTAAAAACCGAAGAGTTCTTATCAGCATTTGACGTCTCGACCCCCTCCACCTTCTCTGCTGGGTCGTAAAATGTCTTCATAGTCCCAAACACCAGCTTCCGTTCCGTAAACTTGTCCTTTAAACCTTCGAAGACTGCGTTACTAGCATGATGGAAGCGAGGCTCATACAACAACACCAACGTCTTCATCACATCCACACCGGCAATACGCTCGCTGAGCTGTTGCACACAGTCATTTACGTCAATCGTTGCATTGCCAAACACGTAGATCACCGGAATCTTGGTCGTCGCACTCAAACATGTGCGTCCGTAGTGCACGATGCAGTCAGCCACGAGATGTTGCGCTGCCACTTCATCCACACAGCAGCTGCCGTAGGAAGTGTCACCAAGCACAAATACGCGCTCCCATTGGCCGGTCAGTCCGTCCTTAAGCTCCTGTTGCACCTGTGAAGCGTCCGGTAGTAGCGAGTCCGGGAATTGCAGCGCGATTTTCTATATAAAAGCAACTTCCGAAATTGAAGTCTTCAATTATTAATACTATTCTACAGGATATTGAATTAAACTTATCGTAATGTGATTCAAGATCCAGAACCAGCCTAGATAGCGATGTATTAAGACAGACGGACAGCTTCAAGTCGGCCTACATGCTTACCAGTGATTCTGTAGAAAAAAATACTACGTGTAGTACTTACTGTTACTTCAGTACATGTAACCCCGCGCACTTCATGAAATCTTACTTGTATCGGCCACTCATAGTATCCTAGCGATGGTCTATATTGTACTACGAAGTATTCCGTTCTCGGACACGCTTTCGGAATGAGTGATTTTCTTTGACAAACGTACAAATTGTTTCAATGAAAAACAGACTTTACTCGATGGCTATCTATTCGGTCTCGTGAGTGTAACCCCGCGCAATACCGATGCTTCCCTCTACGGCGGCGTGTGCAGGAGTCTTGCCAATGCGTGGGTCTAAGCCTTGGTACTCTCTCGTAGCGAGGTAATCGGCGGCCTCACTGTGATACGTGGTCAGCTCTGTTCGCTCATTTTTGACCTGCAACGCACCGGATGCGTCAGGCTCACCCGAAGCCGTGAGAGCATACGTAGTTGCTTCTCGATCGACGGGCGTCGAGTGGGAAGCTGTCTTGTACGTTCCTGACACCAGCGAGAAGAATGGCTTGTCCACGTCTTCACCCTCATCATCGGCAGCTTGCTCTACGCTTTGAGCAGTCTGATCTAGCGCCGGTATTACCTCACTGAAGTCGGTTTTGTACTGGCCATCCCACTCTTCGGAAGGCGAAAGAGCAAGTTGGAGTTCATACGGTGTCACGATGGGTTTGTAGTATTCCTTGCTGTCCATGAGAGTGTTCTGTTGACATGCCACGAGCACAAAGGCGTCGATTTCGGCGTAGTTCGCGAGTTTAGGCACGTTGACCTTGCCCACGACAAACAGATACGACTTGCGTCCACTCCTATGATAACCACAGCAAGCATTAGTATCTGAAAAGATCCATAATATCGTCGATGATCCACCTACTTTTTGATCAGCTTCTGGAGTCCATGCACCACGTCCAGATACTTGTTGACGCCAAGTGTGCCCATCAAAATACCGTAGATCTGTGCCTCCTTAGCTTGTTGGACGAGGAAAAAACTACAGCACACAAAACACTGTTAGTTATTTCAAGCCAAGTAGCAATCTGACTAGCTAGTCTTACCGTCTCATGAGTGCACGGTTGACCGTCGCACCCTCTTTGCGAGTAGACATTACGTTCGGATTGTACGAGAAGCAGTCCACAGTGCTGTAGCGCATTAAAATGCTAGTGAGATGTGCTGATTCCGCTCCTATATACAGCAGTGCAAACGTTTCCGGAGTGATCTCCACGTTATCCTCGCCGAACACGATCTCCTGCCCGCCAACTGTAAAAACCGAAGAGTTCTTATCAGCATTTGACGTCTCGACCCCCTCCACCTTCTCTGCTGGGTCGTAAAATGTCTTCATAGTCCCAAACACCAGCTTCCGTTCCGTAAACTTGTCCTTTAAACCTTCGAAGACTGCGTTACTAGCATGATGGAAGCGAGGCTCATACAGCAACACCAACGTCTTCATCACATCCACACCGGCAATACACTCGCTGAGCTGTTGCACACAGTCATTTACGTCAATCGTTGCATTGCCAAACACGTAGATCACCGGAATCTTGGTCGTCGCACTCAAACATGTGCGTCCGTAGTGCACGATGCAGTCAGCCACGAGATGTTGCGCTGCCACTTCATCCACACAGCAGCTGCCGTAGGAAGTGTCACCAAGCACAAATACGCGCTCCCATTGGCCGGTCAGTCCGTCCTTAAGCTCCTGTTGCACCTGTGAAGCGTCCGGTAGTAGCGAGTCCGGGAATTGCAGCGCGATTTTCTTATATCCACCACGTCGGATCTGCTCTACAGTACGGGTAATATCGTAGTACACACGCAGATCGCAGTCTTCGGCGCGTACTCCATCGCTCTCCTGTACTTGCACTTGCATCTCGATGGCACGCGAGCCATCGTCGCTCTCGAAGGCCAAGGCGACCGTCATCGAAATTGACTAGAGATCGGACAAGTATCAATTGTCAAAACGTTGGTGTAACCACACAAATGTGCATTTTTCGAGGGTATTAGATCTACCGCGTCTTGGTGGTCGTACGCTGACGTAGCGAAGTCTTGCTGTCATGCTCCTCATCAAGAGAGCCCACGAGGTTCTTGAGCTCCTTGTCCTTGATGTACTCACGGTTGATGAGCTTGCCCATCGTATCTCCCGCCTTAACACCTTCACCTGCCTCCTTGAGCATGTCCTTGAGCACTTGACGACCATAGCCCTCACCCGTCACAGGACCGCTGCTACCAAAGCCCACAGCGAGCGTCAGCTTCATCTTGGGCAACGACAACACTACCTCGTGCTCGTCAATAGACGACACCGTGGCACCTTCAGCCAGATCTTCCGTCACACTACCGTAGTAGAGCACTAGCTGTCGCGCACCATCAAAGCACTCTTCGTTCACAAAGGCGATAAGGTTCGTGCGGCCTCGGCGT